CAGCCGCTATAGCATTTTTGGCCAGAGTTGCTCCCTCATACAAGAGTCACTCACTCTGGCCGGAGTTGCTCTCTCCTGCTCCCTAATGCAGGAGTTACTCCCTCTTTCCAGAGCCGCTCCAAGCCGCTATAGAATTTTTAGCCAGAGTTGCTCACTCATACCAGAGTCACTCACTCTGGCCGGAGTTGCTCTCTCCTGCTCCCTAATGACGGAGTTACTCCCTCTTTTAAGAGCCGCTCCCAGACGCTTTAGCATTTTTGGCCAGAGTTGCTCCCTTATACCTGAGTCACTTTCTCTGGCCGGAGTTACTCCCTCTTTCCAGAGCCACTCCCAGCCGCTATAGCATTTTTGGCCAGAGTTGCTCCCTCATACCGTTTTCACTCCCCCTGGCCGGAGTTGCTCTCTCCTGCTCCCTAATGCAGGAGTTACTCCCTCTTTCCAGAGCCGCTCCCAGCGGCCATAGAATTTTTGGCCAGAGTTGCTCCCTCATACCAGAGTCACTCCCTCTGGCCGGAGTTGCTCTCTCCTGCTCCCTAATGTAGGAGTTTCTCTCTCTTTCCAGAGGAGCTTCCAGCAGCAATAGCATTTTTGGCCAGAGTTGCTCCCTCATACCAGAGTCACTCCCTCTGGCCGGAGTTGCTTTCTCCTGCTCCCTAATGCAGGAGTTACTCCCTCTTCCCAGAGCCGCTCCCAGCCGCTATGGCGTTTTTGGCCAGAGTTGCTCCCTCGTACCTTAGTCACTTCCTCTCGCCGGAGTTACTCCCTCTTTCCAGAGTCACTCCCTCTGGCCAGAGTTGCTCCCTCATACCAGAGTCACTCCCTCTGGCTGGAGTTGCTCTCTCCTGCTCCCTAGTGCAATAGTTACTCCCTCTTCCCAGAGCCGCTCTCAGCCGCTATAGCATTTTTGGCCAGAGTTGCTCCCTCATACCTGAGTCACTTCCTCTGGCCGGAGCTACTCCCTCTTTCTAGAGCAACTCCCAGTCGCTTTAGCATTTTTGGCCAAAGTTGCTCCCTCATTACAGAGTCACTCCCCCTCGCCAGAGTTGCTCTCTCCTGCTCCCTAATGCTGGAGTTACTCCCTCTTTCCAGAGCTGCTCCCAGCAGCTATAGCATTTTTGGCCAGAGTTGCTCCCTCATACCAGAGTCACGACCTCTGGCCGGAGTTGCTCTCTCTTGCTTCCTAATGCAGGAGTTACTCCATCTTTCCAGAGCCACTCCCAGCCGCTCTAGCATTTTTGGCCAAGGTTGCTCCCTCATACCAGAAACACTCCCTCTGGCCGGAGTTGCTCTCTCCTGCTCCCTAAAGCAGGAGTTACTCCCTCTTTCCAGAGCCGCTCCCAGCCGCTATAGCATTTTTGGCCAGAGTAGCTCCCTCATACCTGAGTCACTTCCTCTGGTCGGAGTTACTCCCTCTTTCCAGAACCACTCCCAGCCGCTATAGCATTTTAGGCCAGAGTTTCTCCCTCATCCAGAGTCACTCCCTCTGGCCGGAGTTGCTCTCTCTTGCTTCCTAATGCAGGAGTTACTCCCTCTTTCCAGAGCCACTCCCAGCCGCTCTAGCATTTTTGGCCAAGGTTGCTCCCTCATACCAGAGTCACTCCCTCTGGCCGGAGTTGCTCTCTCCTGCTCCCTAATGCAGGAGTTACTCCTCTTTCCAGAGCCGCTCCCAGCCGCTCTAGCATTTTTGGCCAGAGATTCTCCCTCATACCAGAGTCACTCCCTCTGGCCGGAGTTGCTCTCTCCTGCTCCCTAATGCAGGAGTTACTCCTCTTTCCAGAGCCGCTCCAAGCCGCTATAGAATTTTTGGCCAGAGATGCTCACTCATACCAGAGTCACTTTACTCTGACCGGAATTACTCCCTCTTTCCAGAGCCGATCCCAGCCGCTATAGCATTTTTGGCCAGAGTTGCTCCCTCATACAAGAGTCACTCACTCTGGCCGGAGTTGCTCTCTCCTGCTCCCTAATGCAGGAGTTACTCCCTCTTTCCAGAGCCGCTCCAAGCCGCTATAGAATTTTTAGCCAGAGTTGCTCACTCATACCAGAGTCACTCACTCTGGCTGGAGTTGCTCTCTCCTGCTCCCTAATGACGGAGTTACTCCCTCTATAAAGAGCCGCTCCCAGACGCTTTAGCATTTTTGGCCAGAGTTGCTCCCTTATACCTGAGTCACTTCTCTGGCCGGAGTTACTCCCTCTTTCCAGAGCCACTCCCAGCCGCTATAGCATTTTTGGCCAGAGTTGCTCCCTCATACCGTTTTCACTCCCCCTGACCAGAGTTGCTCTCTCCTGCTCCCTAATGCAGGAGTTACTCCCTCTTTCCAGAGCCGCTCCCAGCGGCCATAGAATTTTTGGCCAGAGTTTCTCCCTCATACCAGAGTCACTCCCTCTGGCCGGAGTTGCTCTCTCCTGTTCCCTAATGTAGGAGTTACTCCCTCTTTCCAGAGGAGCTTCCAGCCGCTATAGCATTTTTGGCCAGAGTAGCTCCCTCATACCTGAGTCACTTCCTCTGGTCGGAGTTACTCCCTCTTTCCAGAACCACTCCCAGCCGCTATAGCATTTTAGGCCAGAGTTTCTCCCTCATCCAGAGTCACTCCCTCTGGCCGGAGTTGCTCTCTCTTGCTTCCTAATGCAGGAGTTACTCCCTCTTTCCAGAGCCACTCCCAGCCGCTCTAGCATTTTTGGCCAAGGTTGCTCCCTCATACCAGAGTCACTCCCTCTGGCCGGAGTTGCTCTCTCCTGCTCCCTAATGCAGGAGTTACTCCTCTTTCCAGAGCCGCTCCCAGCCGCTCTAGCATTTTTGGCCAGAGATTCTCCCTCATACCAGAGTCACTCCCTCTGGCCGGAGTTGCTCTCTCCTGCTCCCTAATGCAGGAGTTACTCCTCTTTCCAGAGCCGCTCCAAGCCGCTATAGAATTTTTGGCCAGAGATGCTCACACATACCAGAGTCACTTTACTCTGACCGGAATTACTCCCTCTTTCCAGAGCCGATCCCAGCCGCTATAGCATTTTTGGCCAGAGTTGCTCCCTCATACAAGAGTCACTCACTCTGGCCGGAGTTGCTCTCTCCTGCTCCCTAATGCAGGAGTTACTCCCTCTTTCCAGAGCCGCTCCAAGCCGCTATAGAATTTTTAGCCAGAGTTGCTCACTCATACCAGAGTCACTCACTCTGGCTGGAGTTGCTCTCTCCTGCTCCCTAATGACGGAGTTACTCCCTCTATAAAGAGCCGCTCCCAGACGCTTTAGCATTTTTGGCCAGAGTTGCTCCCTTATACCTGAGTCACTTCTCTGGCCGGAGTTACTCCCTCTTTCCAGAGCCACTCCCAGCCGCTATAGCATTTTTGGCCAGAGTTGCTCCCTCATACCGTTTTCACTCCCCCTGACCAGAGTTGCTCTCTCCTGCTCCCTAATGCAGGAGTTACTCCCTCTTTCCAGAGCCGCTCCCAGCGGCCATAGAATTTTTGGCCAGAGTTTCTCCCTCATACCAGAGTCACTCCCTCTGGCCGGAGTTGCTCTCTCCTGTTCCCTAATGTAGGAGTTACTCCCTCTTTCCAGAGGAGCTTCCAGCAGCAATAGCATTTTTGGCCAGAGTTGCTCCCTCATACCAGAGTCACTCCCTCTGGCCGGAGTTGCTTTCTCCTGCTCCCTAATGACGGAGCTACTCCCTCTTTCAAGAGCCGCTCCCAGCCGCTATAGCATTTTTGGCCAGAGTTGCTCCCTCATACCAGAGTCACTCCCTCTGGCCGGAGTTGCTCTCTCCTGCTCCCTAATGCAGGAGTTACTCCCTCTTCCCAGAGCCGCTCCCAGCCGCTATGGCGTTTTTGGCCAGAGTTGCTCCCTCGTACCTTAGTCACTTCCTCTCGCCGGAGTTACTCCCTCTTTCCAGAGTCACTCCCTCTGGCCAGAGTTGCTCCCTCATACCAGAGTCACTCCCTCTGGCTGGAGTTGCTCTCTCCTGCTCCCTAGTGCAATAGTTACTCCCTCTTCCCAGAGCCGCTCTCAGCCGCTATAGCATTTTTGGCCAGAGTTGCTCCCTCATACCTGAGTCACTTCCTCTGGCCGGAGCTACTCCCTCTTTCTAGAGCAACTCCCAGTCGCTATAGCATTTTTGGCCAAAGATGCTCCCTCATTACAGAGTCACTCCCCCTCGCCAGAGTTGCTCTCTCCTGCTCCCTAATGCTGGAGTTACTCCCTCTTTCCAGAGCTGCTCCCAGCAGCTATAGCATGTTTGGCCAGAGTTGCTCCCTCATACCAGAGTCACGACCTCTGGCCGGAGTTGCTCTCTCTTGCTTCCTAATGCAGGAGTTACTCCATCTTTCCTGAGCCACTCCCAGCCGCTCTAGCATTTTTGGCCAAGGTTGCTCCCTCATACCAGAAACACTCCCTCTGGCCGGAGTTGCTCTCTCCTGCTCCCTAAAGCAGGAGTTACTCCCTCTTTCCAGAGCCGCTCCCAGCCGCTATAGCATTTTTGGCCAGAGTAGCTCCCTCATACCTGAGTCACTTCCTCTGGTCGGAGTTACTCCCTCTTTCCAGAACCACTCCCAGCCGCTATAGCATTTTAGGCCAAGGTTGCTCCCTCATACCAGAGTCACTCCCTCTGGCCGGAGTTGCTCTCTCCTGCTCCCTAATGCAGGAGTTACTCCTCTTTCCAGAGGAGCTTCCAGCAGCAATAGCATTTTTGGCCAGAGTTGCTCCCTCATACCAGAGTCACTCCCTCTGGCCGGAGTTGCTCTCTCCTGCTCCCTAATGCAGGAGTTACTCCCTCTTCCCAGAGCCGCTCCCAGCCGCTATGGCGTTTTTGGCCAGAGTTGCTCCCTCGTACCTTAGTCACTTCCTCTCGCCGGAGTTACTCCCTCTTTCCAGAGTCACTCCTATAACGATTAATTGGCAGTTAGGATATTGCAGAATTTATTACACACACATTTTTTTATTTTGCAAAATCTATTTCTTTTTTTATACACTTTTTTTAATTTCACTTTCCTTTCCTTCACCCTTTAAAATAAAATTGTACGTCGCCGGACAAGACCAGAGGCGGCGAGGGAGCTGCGAGAGTGAAAGTGAGTGTGCTCGCCTGCAAGTGCACTTTGCACCTTGCACGTGACGGGTGCCGGAAGGTGGGAGGCACCGCGGTGCTTTCCGCAGAAAGCGGTCGGAGTCAGTGGCCCAAAACCAATCAAGGGCGACGCACTTGCCGTTGCGGTGTGCGTTCGCCAAAACGATCGGCCGAGTGCCGAAATCGGATCCGAACGAGTGTCGTGGACACAAAGTAAAACGTGAGTTTTATTAGCAAATTTTTAAACCCCATTTGGGCCTTTGTCCGGTGGACTTCCGAGCCACCCTATTTTTCCCTTCGGGTTCACTGACACGACGCTTTCGACCTTTCAGGCGCCCCTCGGGGCCGTTTGGTGTCTAGGAACGGCTTCGTGGAGCCAACCGGGGCGTCATTCCGGACGGCGGCTCAAACACCACCCTGAGCTTGCCGAATGACCTCGTCAATTGGGTCACTGCACGAGCCACTCACATTTCACGTTTCACCCTTCGGGTTTGAGAGAGTCAACGAGCAGCAAGAGAGAACGACTCATCAAATGGACATCGACGAATAAGTACCATTTTTGAAAGTGCACTTTTGATATTGTATCCAATTCCTTTTCCTACCCTTTTTTTATATTGATACACTAATTTCATTACATTACATTCATACTAATTATTATCATTAAAATTTTACAATAGAGTTTTGCATATTTTACTACCTGCAAAATTAATTGTAACTTTGGTCTTCTTTTTTATTGCGATACGAATCTCCAAATTATTTTCAACAGTTCAGTCAGTTTGCACATTTCAGGAGCCACCAGAAAACGAACCCTGGTTTAGTTTTTTTATTTTGAATTTTGAGAATTTAATTGAGCATAATGTGTAGCAGCATTTAAATCTGTTACTGGCATCCCAACATAGAAGAAGTTTCCAGAAAGAACTAAGTAACGTTATATGGCATCCCTTTTAAATTTTCTGCGTGGCTAGTCGAGTAGTCGGAATTTATTCGGTCGTCTTGCGTGCGCGGGGCGTGTTGACGTGCGAGTCTCGAACCGGAGGGCCGTTATTGTTTCGGTATTTTGTGTTTTTCGGTCGGCGTTTGCTAAGCGAGCGACATCGCGATCGGGCCGCTTGAGCGTTATTTGGATTCCGTAGTGCATTCGTGGCTAGCGTGAAATTCTAAATTCCTCTTGCGTGTATTGCATTGTTAATTTTTATTTATTTTCTTGTTGCGTTTGAAATATTTAGTTTTGTTTTGTGTTGATTTTTATTGTTAAAATGGATAATTTCAAGATCGAATTTGATCGTTTGAATGAAGAATTTGTGCGGCATGAGTGCGTGGCGTTAGGAATAGAGATTGGCGAGAAAAATATCACAGCCTTGCGAGCTGAATTAAAAGCAGCACACGACGCGTTTGCGAGTGGGGCCCGCGAGAGGCCGGTGATTGTGGAAACTCCAGCCGTCGTGGAGGAGCTGAATTTCATTTCCGTTCAAGTCGGGACAGTAAAAGCAAGGGTGCAGGACGTCGCCAACGCAAAGTCTGCCACCGAGGCTCGGAAGGTGCGAGCGCAGATTGCATATTTGCGCGAGTGTCTTTTGAGGCTGAAGCCTGCGGAGGGCGCGGAGCGTTGCAAGGGCTTAGTTTCGACTTTGTGGGAGCACTTGCGTGCGGCCTTTAATGTTTTGAGGGGCGTACGCGAGGAGGACCCTGAGCAGGTCGGAGGTGAGCAGGCGCAGGCGAACGCGGCTCTCTTTGATGAGCTAAACGAGACTGTGGCCGCGCTGGGTGACGTTGCCCAGCCGGAAATTGACCTTGACCAGGGGGGAGGGGGGTTGCGTGCCCAATCCACCCCGAGGCCACAGCCATCGTGGTTTGATGACGTACTATTGTATTTGCCAATGCGTTTTGACGCGCAGAGAAATGAACCGGTGCCACTTCTTGCAGATGCGGCAGCCGGCGGACTTCGCTCTTTTCCCGAGCCACGGAGAGCTGGAAAAATGATTCCAGTGGCGGACTGGAAAATTCAGTTCTCCGGCGAGGCGAAAGAGAAAGTGTCGTTTGCTGATTTTTTGTTTGAAGTGTCGCTGAAAAGAGAGGAGTGCAATTTGTCCGAGAGCGAGTTTTGGCGCGGCGCGCACAATTTGTTCACGGGCCCGGCAAAAACGTGGTTCATTGCGAATCGCGGAAAGTGGGCGTCGTGGAGTGAATTTGAGCCGGAATTTTTGCAGAATTTCAAACCCGCCAATTTTGATTCGCGACTGTGGCAGCAGCTTCGATTGAGAACGCAGGGGAGGGAAGAGCGATTAAATCTTTATGTGGCGGAAATGCAGAGGAGCTTTTCTCTTCTTGAATTTCCACCACATGAGGCGGAGCGTTTGTCTTTCCTCAAGGAGCGACTTAATCCGTTTTTATTAAAAAACCTGCCACTGTCAAAAATCAAAACGTTGGACGAGTTGGTGGCTGAAGGCCTGAAATTAGAGTCGGTTCAGTCGCTCATTGACAATTATCGCGAACCAGTGGCACCAGATAACCCAGTGCAGCCGAGCCTGGTGTATAAAAAGCCAAATTCAAGGGCCGCGGATTCGGGCAAGGCGAGTGCCGCGAAGGCATCGCAATCGAGTGACAGTCAGCCGAGGGCGCGCGCTGCAACTGTAGCAGTTGATGGGACGGTGGCGAAGGGAGACAATCGGCCGAATTGGACCCAGGGTGGGGCTAAGGGGTCGAATTTTGTCCCCGGCTCAAAGCAGCCACATCCAGCTTTTGCGCGAGCAAATTCTGACCCCGGGCGTGCCAGGAGGTGTTGGAATTGTGCTCAGCCGGGGCACACTTACGTCTACTGCCCCTCAAAAGTTGTGAATTTCTTTTGTTGGGGATGTGGTGCTCAGGGTGTGTCCCGCAAGACGTGCAAGAATGAGAAATGCCGCCGTGCAAAAAACGTGCAGGAGGGCCCTGCTGGAGGCAACACGCAGCCGAGCAGGCCCGCAAACAGTGCAGACGGACCGGCTGCGAGTGGAGCCGCTTCGTAGGAAAGATCCGTATTGATACCGTGCGTGCAAAAATTGATTCAATTAAGCGAAATTTGAGGTCAAAGTTAGGGAGAAAATTTACGTCTGTAGACGAGGATGATCGTTTGTTTTTAGATGTGCAAATAGTGGGCCGTAAAGTAACGGCGTTGCTTGATTGTGGGGCCTCAATGTGTGTTTTGGGGGGGCCGGGAGAGTATTTGATTAAGGAGCTCAATTTGCACATCCGAAAAACAATGATTAAAAATGTTGAGTTGGCTGACGGCAGTCACAATTTGGTGGGCGGTTGCGTTGATTTGCCAATTACGTTGGACGGTAAAACATTTTTAATTCCAGCATTAATTGTTCCCAAAGTGGATCAGGCTTTAATTCTCGGTTTGAATTTTTGGGTTCGGACAGGTTTTGTCCCGGACGTTTTAAATGGGACTTGGCATTTCACTTCTCAAAATGCGAGCGAGGCGCCGCGGCCGCCTGAGAGAATTTCATCGGCGAGGGCGGACGGCGACGCTTTGAATGAAAAGCAAAGAAAGGAATTGCTTGGTTTCATTGAAAACGTTAAGAAAGATTTTCCAAAGAAATTAGGCCGAGTTAAAACTGAATACCACATTGACACGGGCGATGCGAGGCCAATTAAATGCAAACAATTTTACATTGCGCCGCCGATGTTGGAGTTAATGCACAAGAACATAGACGAGATGTTAGAGCTCGGCGTCATTGAATATGCCCAGAGCCCTTGGTGCTCGCCGGTGTTTTTTGTGCGTAATGACGAGAAAGGGAAAGAGCCGCGTTTAGTTCTTGATATGCGCGAGGTTAATAAAGTAACTGTTGAAGATGCGTATGCAGTGCCAATTTTGTCATCAATATTAGATAATTTGGGAGATTTTCGATTCATTAGCTCTGTCGATTTTAAAAAGAGTTATTGGCAAGTGCCACTTGACGCAGAGAGCCGGCCAAAAACCGCTTTTTTTGTTCCAGGGAGGGGATTATTACAATTTTGTGTCATTCCATTTGGCGCTATTAATAGCGGTCCCGGTTTTATGCGCGTGTTTGACGGAGTTCTTGCAAATTCTTGGATTAGGAAATATATAAAAAATTATATTGATGATGTCTTTATTGGTACTCCAACGCTTGAGTTGCATTTTGAGGTTTTGAAAGAATTTTTCCGATTGATGAAAGAGGCTAATTTGACACCTAATTGGGATAAATGTCATTTTCTTCGAAGCTCAATTAAAATATTGGGGTATATTTTTGATAGTGCAGGTTTGCATCCGGATCCAGAAAAAATCAGTGCCATTTTGCAATTAAAACGGCCGGAGAACGTTAAGGAGGTGAAAATGCTCCTTGGCGCTGTTTCGTATTACCGCCGGTTAATTGACAATTTTAGCACTATTGTGGAGCCGATGACACGCCTCACTCGCAAAAAGAGCTCTTTTGTTTGGACGGACGAGCAAGAAAATGCATTTACTTCCATGAGGGAGGCTCTAATTAGTGACCCCGTGGTCCGATTGCCTGATTTTTCGCGTCAATTTATTTTGTCTACGGACGCGTCAGATGTAGGAATTTCGGGGGTGCTCACACAGATTTTTGAGGATGGGAAGGAACACCCGGTGTTTTATGTGAGCAGAGTTTTGAGCGAGGCCGAGCAAAAATATCCAACTATCCATAAGGAGGCATTAGCGATTTTGTGGTCAATCGAGCGCCTTGAGGGTTATTTAGCGTATAAAAAATTTCTGTTGTACACAGATAATAGGCCATTAAAGTTTTTGCGCGACGTTAAAAATCCGAAGGGGAGGCTGGCGAATTGGGTCGACAAGTTGCAAAAATACGATTTTGAAGTTTTCCACAAGCCGGGAAAATTAAACGTAGTGCCAGATTTGCTCTCCCGTTCATTCTCAGCGCCAATTAAAGTTGCACCAATTAATGTCCCAGAACGGACCAATGACCGATGGTATATTGATTTGATGGAAAATGTTCAGCGTGAACCAGGGAAATTTCCACTTTTCAAGGTTGAGGGAGGGAGACTCTTTAAACTTGTTAAGGGTTGGAATCCGTGGGATATTTCCGATTACAAGCAGGTGGTCCCGCGAGATCAGAGATTAAAGGTTATTCGCTTGAATCACTGCCCGCCGGAGGCAGGTCACTTTGGTTTTTTCAAAACATTTCACCGAGTATCTGAAAATTTTTATTGGCCTAAAATGCGATATGACATTAAAAAGTTCAATCAAGTCAATCTGCGCCAGCAGGATTTATGGCCTCTCACCAAGTAGAAAGGCCTTGGCAGGTAGTTTGTTCTGATATTGTGGGCGAGTTTCCGCGTAGTTCTTTGGGAAATAAAGTAATTTTGTCAGTCGTTGATTTTTTTACAAAGTTTGTCATTCTTGTGCCACTCCGGGAGGCAAGCGCCAATGCGTTGTGTGCCGCTCTCGAGAAAATAATTTTCACTTACGGTGCGCCAGAATTATTAATTCAGGATAATGCAAAAATTTATAACAGCAGGGTTTTTAAAGATCTCGGGAAAAGATTTAATATTGACCTCCAGTATACCCCACGTTATCATCCGCAAGCAAATCCAGTGGAAAGGGTTAATAGAGTGTTTGAAACAGTTATACGCTGCCACGTTTCCGATAATCACAAAGATTGGGATAAATTTTTGCCGCAGGTGGCCTTTGCTATTAATTCAAGTGTGCATGAGACGACAAAATTTTCACCTTTTTTTCTAACTTTTGGTCGTCAACTTTCATTGTATAATCAACCAGCGCCGGAAGCTGAGCGCGATCAGGCGGTGCGCGATCCGATCTCCGAGTATGCCAAACGATTTCCGAAACTACAAAAAATATTTGAAACCGTTCGTGAAAATATGAGGGCGTCCGGGGAGAAGAACGCACGTCATTATAATCTGCGCCGACGGCCGGGTGATTTGCGAGTAGGCGATTCTGTCATGAAAAGAAATTTTGTTTTGTCCAATAAAGGAGCAGGGTTCTCAGCTAAATTAGTCCCATCATTTGTTGGCCCGTATACAATTGTTGAGCAGAAGGCTCCTAATATGTTCACTCTGGCAGATGATCAACGAAAAATAATTGGAGATTTTGATTGCAAGGATTTGAAGAAAACTGCGCTCACGAATTAATTTCCACTTCGTGAAAATTAATTTTGTGACGGGGGGAGGTATAACGATTAATTGGCAGTTAGGATATTGCAGAATTTATTACACACACATTTTTTTATTTTGCAAAATCTATTTCTTTTTTTATACACTTTTTTTAATTTCACTTTCCTTTCCTTCACCCTTTAAAATAAAATTGTACGTCGCCGGACAAGACCAGAGGCGGCGAGGGAGCTGCGAGAGTGAAAGTGAGTGTGCTCGCCTGCAAGTGCACTTTGCACCTTGCACGTGACGGGTGCCGGAAGGTGGGAGGCACCGCGGTGCTTTCCGCAGAAAGCGGTCGGAGTCAGTGGCCCAAAACCAATCAAGGGCGACGCACTTGCCGTTGCGGTGTGCGTTCGCCAAAACGATCGGCCGAGTGCCGAAATCGGATCCGAACGAGTGTCGTGGACACAAAGTAAAACGTGAGTTTTATTAGCAAATTTTTAAACCCCATTTGGGCCTTTGTCCGGTGGACTTCCGAGCCACCCTATTTTTCCCTTCGGGTTCACTGACACGACGCTTTCGACCTTTCAGGCGCCCCTCGGGGCCGTTTGGTGTCTAGGAACGGCTTCGTGGAGCCAACCGGGGCGTCATTCCGGACGGCGGCTCAAACACCACCCTGAGCTTGCCGAATGACCTCGTCAATTGGGTCACTGCACGAGCCACTCACATTTCACGTTTCACCCTTCGGGTTTGAGAGAGTCAACGAGCAGCAAGAGAGAACGACTCATCAAATGGACATCGACGAATAAGTACCATTTTTGAAAGTGCACTTTTGATATTGTATCCAATTCCTTTTCCTACCCTTTTTTTTATATTGATACACTAATTTCATTACATTACATTCATACTAATTATTATCATTAAAATTTTACAATAGAGTTTTGCATATTTTACTACCTGCAAAATTAATTGTAACTTTGGTCTTCTTTTTTATTGCGATACGAATCTCCAAGTTATTTTCAACAGTTCAGTCAGTTTGCACATTTCAGGAGCCACCAGAAAACGAACCCTGGTTTAGTTTTTTTATTTTGAATTTTGAGAATTTAATTGAGCATAATGTGTAGCAGCATTTAAATCTGTTACTGGCATCCCAACATAGAAGAAGTTTCCAGAAAGAACTAAGTAACGTTATACTCCCTCTGGCCAGAGTTGCTCCCTCATACCAGAGTCACTCCCTCTGGCTGGAGTTGCTCTCTCCTGCTCCCTAGTGCAATAGTTACTCCCTCTTCCCAGAGCCGCTCTCAGCCGCTATAGCATTTTTGGCCAGAGTTGCTCCCTCATACCTGAGTCACTTCCTCTGGCCGGAGCTACTCCCTCTTTCTAGAGCAACTCCCAGTCGCTTTAGCATTTTTGGCCAAAGTTGCTCCCTCATTACAGAGTCACTCCCCCTCGCCAGAGTTGCTCTCTCCTGCTCCCTAATGCTGGAGTTACTCCCTCTTTCCAGAGCTGCTCCCAGCAGCTATAGCATTTTTGGCCAGAGTTGCTCCCTCATACCAGAGTCACGACCTCTGGCCGGAGTTGCTCTCTCTTGCTTCCTAATGCAGGAGTTACTCCATCTTTCCAGAGCCACTCCCAGCCGCTCTAGCATTTTTGGCCAAGGTTGCTCCCTCATACCAGAAACACTCCCTCTGGCCGGAGTTGCTCTCTCCTGCTCCCTAAAGCAGGAGTTACTCCCTCTTTCCAGAGCCGCTCCCAGCCGCTATAGCATTTTTGGCCAGAGTAGCTCCCTCATACCTGAGTCACTTCCTCTGGTCGGAGTTACTCCCTCTTTCCAGAACCACTCCCAGCCGCTATAGCATTTTAGGCCAGAGTTTCTCCCTCATCCAGAGTCACTCCCTCTGGCCGGAGTTGCTCTCTCTTGCTTCCTAAT